CATCCTTTCAAGCTAGAAACTCAGAAAAGTGTTTTGTTTGAGCCCAACAGAGAGTCCTGGAGCCTCAAGTGCCCCATGAGATAGTTTCAGAATGGAGCAGTTTGTGGGGCCCTCAAGGAAATGCCAGCTCCTCCAGGAAGCCCATCCTGATTTTCTGACATTCCCTCTCTCCCCCTTACTTTTGTTCGAATTCCCAGAGCCCTCTGTACCTCTCCATGATGGGAATTACAGCTTGCTTCCCATAGCCAGGGGTTCTTCGCCTTTTTTGTGCCAGAAACATTTCAGTTAGAGGTTAACAGAAGATGTGACTTTTTTCTCCAACCCCAGTTCAGAGACCCCCTGAATTCTATCTGTAGGACTGTGGGAGTCATTTCTAGCCTCTCTTAATCTCCCTCCCCCAGTCTTCCCCTGTATCTAGTCTTGTGACCCCAGGGCCTTGAACACAATAGATACCTGGTGTGTGCTTTTTGGAGTGAAAATGGGCCTTGCAGGTCCCCTCAAAGTGCAGACTTGCCCCAGCCGGGGGTGAGCTGGTGGGGACCAGTGACCAGATGCTTCCTGAAGGAGGAGACACAGGTGCTGGAATGCCTCACAGGCCTCCTGCTTCCCAGCAGCTGCGTGGAGCTAGGCCTCTCCCTGCAGAGGAGGAAGCTGGGTCCCATGCTGCAGGGCTCAGGGGATGTTCAGGCCCCTTTCATCTGGGCAACAGGGCTCCTGTGCAGCCTGTTGAAGGTGCTACATGGCTTGCAAAGCTTGGAGATTTGGGCCTGGTCCGTGGGCTGCCAGCAGCATATTCTTTCTCTCTTTGGCCCCAAATGGGCATGGCTGTGTGCCCCCCGCCCCCAGTACTGTTTAGCTGAAGCTGTCCCGCTTGACAAATGGGCCATTTGCTTCCTGCACTGGAGTGGCCGGCCGCCTGGTAAAAGGCTATAATTAGCAGAGAAGAGCAGATGGGATTGCATGCTGGCATCAACAGTTAATTTTGTGCTCAGATGGAAACATAAACTGATGTCATCAGAGAAGTAAATATCATTTGGAAATCTTGAAGTTCCTGGGAAGGGTTACGCCGGCCTTTCCCCATGCCCACTGCCCCGCGAGCACTTGAACAAGGAGCCCAGATCAGCATGTGCTGTGTGGGGAGCCGCCTCAAGGGTTGCTTGCCAGGCTGCTCAGAGCCTGGGGTGGCAGCACATCTGGTTGGACCAGGAGAAACGGGCCTGCGACGGCTCGGTACACAGTGGTGGGGGAGTCGGGAGGCTTGCCTTGGTATTTGCCACGGTAGCTTTCCCTATGGCTTTAGTGGTTTGGAAATGTTGCAAGGCTGACTAGCAAGGAAAATGCAATGCTTTGCAATGGAAGGGAGATCAGACCAAAGGAAGTTTTGTTTCCTGCCAGCAAGGCTGTTCTGGAGTGGGTCCCTGGGGCTCTGGGGAGCTTGTAAAAATAGAAGAAGCCACTGACTGCCTTCGTGGGGAGGACTGGGGTCAGTGCTGCTCGGAATTGGGGCCAAGGACAGCTCTGGTGTTTTGGAGATGGTTTCCAAAGCAGGGTACCTTAATCCAGAAGCATAGCCTTGGGCGGGGATGATGAAGGGGGAGGCTAGGGCTATGGGAAGACGTCAGGGCCCGTGTCCATCCTGCCTGAGAAGGTTTTTTGTTTTTTTTTTAAACAACAGGAAGCATAGAACTCTCAAAAGTATATGGAATCAATTCTGAAAATATTAAGGTGTTATCTTGTTGGCTCAGTGACAGCATGAGAAGCACATTTTTCATCAAGATAGAAGATAAAACCCCCTGTGTTGCCCTCAAGTACACGGCATCCTTGCGTATTTAGTTCACCTCCCTCCCGGGCTCTGAAGACTTCACTTCTCTGTGAGACGGCTCTGTTCTCATAATCCTCAGGCCTGGGGTGGAGGGGTCTCTGTGCTCTGTGTCGGGTTCATGTTTAGGGTTGAGTGAGCAATTCCTTATAAGTGCAATAACTCAGAAGGGGCTGGCGGGGGGAGGATTTGGCTTTTAAAGCTGCTAGCCCTAGTTCTCAGAGGACCCATGGGGCTTAGGTCGCCTTGAACAATGATCTCACCAAGTTCTGGGTTTTGGAGCGTGAACTGACCTGGTAGCCTCTGGTTAATCTTTCTCTATCAAAGGTAGATTTTATTTCCTGTGGTCACTGTAGACAGCTGTGTGTATGAGTGTGAGTGTGTGTGTGTGTGTGTGTGTGTGTCCTGCCTTATAAATTTTAAAATTTACCCAAGTGGGTATTTTTGATGACATCATTTCACTCATGGTTTTCCCGATATGGCCAACTTGTCAGTAAGTGGCTCATGGCAGAGTTTGTCAGTGCCTCTAGCACGTCCTGGCCAGTGTGTACTGACTGGAAATGTGTTCCTTTTAGACTGGGGGTGGGGAGGTGGATCTCAGTAATCCCAGATTATCTTTTCAGACTAAGGGCATGGCGCTTAGCCGTGAAATACAGCCAAGCGCTGGGCCCGAGGGAGATGGCTCCCTGGTAATCCTCTGTCATCTGGTGTTTCTAAGTCTGCTTGGTCTGTCTGACTTTTGGCATCCCCACCACTTGTCAGAGCTTAGGGGGAGCAGGCACCCCCCCTTTGCCCAGGACAGTCTCGGGGCTCTTTAGAAGGAAGTCAAGGCAACGTACTTTGAGGGCACATTATAGCCAGTTTAAGGACCAGTCTAAGGGCCAGTGAGTAACGGGAGTGGCGGCCCCCTCGGTGTTCCGGATGTTGGCTCAAGAGTAGCTATGCTCCTGGCGTATCTTGCCAACATCTTGTCTGTATCATCCCTCACTTCCTTTATTCGGACCTTAGCTGACAGCACCAGGTTCTGGTTGCTCTCCCACACTGCCTTCTGCGCGGTGGAGAAGTCCAGTGTTTCTAAAGATTTGTTGCTGCCCTCGGGAACGTGTGGCCCGGAAGGTCAGAATCATGGAGGTGTTGGCTCAAACCCAAGGGGGTCTGTTGAGAGGCTCAGCTCGTGTCCATTCAGCAGACATTGACTGTAAATGCCGATTGGACTTCCTAAACATCAGGACTGTTCTGGGTGCTGGGGATGCCTGAAATAGTTGGAAAATCCCTCCTGGCATAGAGCTTATATTCTTATGGGGAAGACAAACCATTAAAAAATAAAAGGACAAAAGGTAGTTTGTTATACTGGTAAGTGCAAAGGAGAAAAATAAAACAGGAAAATGGAATTGGGAGTTTCAGGGGAAGGAACTTTCTACTTTTATTTATTTTTATTTTTATTTTTTTCCCTTTTTGCTGAGGAAGATTCGCCCTGAGCTAACATCTGCTGCCAATCTTCCTCTTTTTTTTCGTGTGAGCCTCCACCACAGCATGGCCATTGACAGATGAGTGATGTAGGTCTGTGCCTGGGAACCAAACCATGGCTGAGGAAGCAGAGTGTGCTGAAATTAACCACTAGGCCACCGGGGCTGGCCCAGGAACTTCCTACTTTTAAGTAAGATGGCCCCTTGCTGAGCAGGTGACAGTTGAGCAAAGACAAGAAGGAGGCGAGGGAGTGAGCCATCTGGATGTCAGGAGGAAGAGCATTCCAGGCAGTGGGAACAGCCTGTGCAAAGGCCCTGGGGTGGCACACTTAGTGTGTTCGACCAGTAGTGAGGAGCCCTGTGCAGCTAAAGCAGAGCGAAGGAGAGGGGGATGTGAGAGGTGAGGTCAGATGGGTCACGTGGGCCTCTGGCTGTGATTAGGGTTGTGGCTTTCACTCTTGGTGCACAGAGAACCAGCCTGCTCTGATTAGGTTTTACCTGGTTACTCTGGTGTGGAGAATGGGCTGAAGGGAGCCAGTTTGGACACTGTTGTGAAATCCAAGGGTGATGTGGCAGTGTAGCCCTAGACTCGTCTGAGGGTTGGGGGTGGTGTCAGCTGATAAAGCTCCCTGAAGATTTAATATGAAAGTTTTCAGGCTGAGAGAAGAAAGGGGTTCTCCAAGGGCTTTGTTGCCTGTTTTTGCTAATGGGTGTGATAGTGGTCATCTTTCAACAGTTAGGAAAGTTGATAATGAGGAATTCGACTTATAGATCCCCTCAAAATTCTTCCTGTTCCAACCTTTGGCCTTCCCGATGGTCATCCTGAAAATAAATTCTGTGTTTATGGTGCTGTGTGAAATGCCTGTCCCTCTGAGCAGTACTGAAGTGTCCTTTGGGGACCTGCCTGTGTAACATGCGTCCCAGTGGCCTGTGCTTTGCAGGTTTATAACGTTTCCACTTTGCTTATCTCACCAAAGCCTGGCAAAAACCTGTGGGGCGAGCAGGGCAGAAACGAGTGTGTTCATACCCATTTTTCAGATGAGAACACAGACTCGTGTGGTCAGATGCCTGTCCAAGGCCCAGGGTTAGCAAGTGGCAGAGCTGGGACCCGAACTCAGGTTCTCTGACCCTCTAACCAGTGGCATTTCTCCTGACTCACCGGTATGTTCCTCTAAAGCAGCATTTCCAAGTAGGGTCTGTATTAGTTTGCTTGGGCTGCCATAACGAGATACCACAGATTGGGTGGCTTAAACAACAGACATTTATTGTCTGATAGTTCTGGAGGCTGGAAGTTCAAGATCAAGGTGTTGGCAGAGTTGGTTTCTTCTGAGGCCTCTCTCTTTGGTTTGTAGGGTGTGTGGTTTCTCCCTGTGTCTTCACGTGGTCTTCCCTCTGTGTTTGTCTGTGTCCTAATCTCTTCTTATAAGGACAACAGTCATGTTGGGTTAAGGCCCACTCATATGACCTCATTTTAACTTAATGACCTCTTTAAAGGCTCTATCTCCAAATATAGTCACATTCTGAAGTACTAGGGGTTAGGACTTCAGCATATGAATTTTGTGGAATACAATTCAGTCCATAACATTTTCCCTCATATGGGGTCGTCTGAGGTGAGACTGCCAGTGGCAGGCAGCATAGGCCCCAAACAAACTCTTTGTAGGAAAATCAAGTGACTGCCAGTCCTTCTCCTCTCTCACTGCCTGCTTTCTTGCTAGCTGATTGGGGCCCTGGTCCTGTCGGTGGGGATCTACGCAGAGGTTGAGCGGCAGAAATACAAAACCCTCGAAAGTGCCTTTCTGGCCCCGGCCATCATCCTCATCCTCCTGGGGGTCATCATGTTCATCGTCTCTTTCATTGGCGTGCTGGCTTCCCTCCGTGACAACCTGTGCCTTCTCCAAGCGGTGAGTGGCCCCACGCACCCCTCAGCCAGTGGGTGGGGCGTCCTTGGAGTCCCTAGGAGAGGCCCTGGGCCCTCGGGCAGCCCAGTGTTTCCAGTTCTTGCCGCAAACCAGCCTTGTAGAGGGTTTGCTGGATCAGCCTGTCTGTCCATGTCGGCCCAAGAGTGCCCAGGCCACCTCCACTTCTGTGTACGAAGGCTGATTTGAATACTCTTCTTCTTCCTTGAACCCTGTGTGGGTCTGGACCCTCAGTTGGAAGTGGGAGAAACCCACACTCAAATGAGAGCAAGCAAAACCAAAAAAAGTGGTTATTGGTGAGTCATTAGCTCATGTAACCCGCAAACCCACACTGGGTCCTGGGGTTTAGATGGCGCTCTTGGGCTCTCGCCCTGCCTCTTGCCACCTCCCAGCTGGATGCCTGGCATTGTCCTCAGGCTCTCTTTGAGACGGTTGTCAGGAGCCTCAGGCCAACAGAGTCCTTATAGCTCTTGATCCCGGGGCATCTGTCCTGGCAGCTCTGGCCAGAGTCCCAGGACTCTGATGGGCCTGCTTGGGCCAAATGCCTGCCCTGGGGTCAGGGCGTGGGGTTGGCCACATCTGCCCCCCTTACTGTGGGATGAAGGATGGCTCCCCAAAGCTGGGGGTACCGGGGAGGGGGATCCATTCACTCTGCACCCATGAGTATGTTTGACCTCGTTGTCCCCCGACATGGGAAGTCCCTGAAAGCCCCGCTCAGTAGGGTGTTGGTGCTGCCTGAGGCTGGAAGTTGCTGCCATTAGTTTGGACAATGCCTATTCTGCCATAAAGGAGGGGTTGGGTGGGTGCCTATCTTCTAAGCCTCAGACATCCCCCCATCCACTCTGGGGCTCCGGGAAGCCACTTCTGAGGGGCTCTGCGGGCAGAGCTGGAAATGCTGCCCCAACCTGCCCATCAAGTCAGGCCCATCCCCTCTGGGTCAGCCGGAGCGAGGACAGCCCTCCTCGTGGTGGTGGGGGGCAGGGGTGTATTTTTCTACCTAGAGCCCACTGAGGACCCCTGGGACAAACCTCAATAACAGTCTGGCTGGGACGGCTGAGTCACGTTTCCTGACCACCGGCTCCAGAAACGGGCTTTCCCGGGGAATGCCTGTCTGCGTCCTGTGTCCTCACGGGAGGAAGGGGCGAAGGGCTGGGAGCCCATAAGAGCTCCCACAGAGATGATTCTACTTACAGCGCTTGACCTCGGAGCAGTTGGTGCTTCCCTGCCCCTCTGGCTGAATCTCTGGTTTTGTTTTTCAGTTTATGTACGTCCTTGGGATTTGCCTCATCATTGAGCTCATTGGTGGCGTGGTGGCCTTGATCTTCCGGAACCAGGTGGGCCTGTGACGCCTTTATCAGCCACGTGTATGTTGAACGCCCACTTGCCCTGGGCTGTAAACTGGGTGTGCGCAGAAAGCAGGGTAGATAATTCACCCTGTCCATCCTGCTGGGGAGACGGGCACAGAACAAGTAAACCAGAGAACAAGAAAACAAAACAGCGTGGTAGGGAGTGCCTGGGTGGGGGTGGGGAGGACAGTCATGAAATAATGAAAAGGAGCCTACCAGGTGAGGCTCGGAGGGAAGAGAAGTCCAGGCAGAGGGAACCACTGAGGCAGAAAGGAGCTTGGCAGGTTTGTGGACCAGTGTAGAGGCCGCTTGGCTGAAGCCAGTGAGGGATGGGGAGGGGCTGGAAGGTGAAGTTGGAAGGGCCAGCCAGAGTAGATCACGTAGGACCCATAGGCCATGATTTAGGAGCTCAGAATTGTTGCTAAAGGCAGTAGGAAGCCTTTGGAGAGTTTTATGCAGGGAAGTGGTATGATCTGATTTCCATTTTACTCGCTACTGAGTGAAGAATGGACAGTAGGGAGGATGTGGGGAGACCGGCGGGGAGGCTGTGGTGGTCAACCAGGGAAGAGGAGATGGTGGCTTGGACCGAGGTGGAGGCAGTGGGCCTGGACAGGAATGGCTGGATTTGGTGTATGTTTTGGAGGCAGTGCCAGTAGGACTCTGTTGTGCTGGATGTAGATAGGGGTGAGGGCAAGAGAGGGGCTGAGAGGGTGATGCCTGGCGTCTTGGTCCTGGAAGGGTGTGCAGAATCAGGGCCCCTGTGAGCCAGAGTGGTTCTCAGGGCTCCTGGTCTCCAACTCCTTCTGTCATAGGCTGTGAGTGCCTCATACTAGCTGTGTGACCTTGGGCAAGTCACTTAGCCTCTCGGACGCTCAGGTTCCTCAGGGGATCACGATTCCTAGCTCATGGAGTTTGGGGTTAGGATTTGATGAGAGAATGCATGTGAAGAACCTGGATTGGTTCTGGTCCCTAGTGGACCCTCATTACACATTACCTCCTCCACTCTGAAGCCTGGAGATGAGAAAAGACTTGCCCAAGGTCCCACAAGAAGCTAGGGGCTGAACGGGCTGACTTCCAACCCAGGGCTCCGTCACTCCTCCCATAGTCTTATTCCTGTGTCTTCCTCCTGGCTTTGGTGTTGGAGATGGGGCTGAGGAGGAGGGCATGTTTGCAGAAGCTCAGTTCTCTCTGTCCACGCCCCTGCCTCCACCCCTGCCCACCCAGACAGCTTGGTTCCTGGTGCTCCTGGGCATCGCTGTTGGGCGGGTGCATCAGGGCTGTGGCCAAGTTGTCTTTCTTGTCAGAAGTTGAGCCCAAGGCAGCAGGCGCTACCCCAGACACTGGGTTGTGCAGAGCCCTCAAACATCCCAGCGTCTGACTCCTGCCAAGCTCTTCACGGGTATAGCTGGTATGCTGGCTCAGGTGGGAGCGAGGACCACCTGTTCTGCCTGGGCCTCCTGTGGGTGGGCCTTAACCACAGGCCTGTCTACACCCTTGGAATCCAATGGTCTTCTTCCTGTTTTATGAGCCCCAAGAGAGGGGAGGGGAGATTCCCATCATATCAATGGAGTCATTGAGGCACAGAGAGGTCAGGAAGCCCTCCCAAGAGCACAGAGCAAGACAGAGGCAGCTCAGTCTTTTTTCCACCCCACCCCCCACCTTTATTGAGGTATAATTGACAAATAAAATTGTAATATATTTAAAGTGTACAATGTGATGATTTGATATGTGTATACACTGTGAAATGATTACCACAATCTAGTTAATTAACACATCCATCACCTCACATAGTTTTCCTATTAGCAAATTTCAAGTATACAATACAATAATTATTAACTATTATCACCATGCTGTACATTAGATCCTCCGAACTTATTCATCTTATAACTGAAAGTTTGTACCCTTTGACCCACATCTCCCTTTTTCCCTACCCCTCAGCCCCTGGCAACCACTTTTCTACTCTCTGGTTCTATGGATTTGACTTTTTTTTTTTTTTTTTCTGATTTTTAAAAATAGATTTTATTTTTTAGAACAGTTTTATATTCATAGCACAACTGAGCAGAAGGTAGATATTTCCCATATACCCCTGCCCACACACACGCATAGCCTCCCCCATTATCAACATCTTGCACCAGAGTGGTAGGTACATTTGTTACAATTGATGAACCTACATTGACACATCATAATGACCTAAAGTCCACAGTTTACATTAGAGTTCATTCTTGGTGTTGTACATTCTATGGGTTTGGGCAAATGTATAATGACATGTATCCATTACGGTATCATACAGAGTATCAACTTTTTTTTTTAGATTCCACATATAAGTGATACCATTCATATTTGTCTTTCTCTGCCTAGCTTATTTCACTCAGCATAATGTCCTCCATGTTCACCCGTGTTATCACAAATGGCAGGATTTCTTTCTTTTTTATGGCTGAATAATATTCCATGTGTGCGTGTATGTATGTGTGTGTGTATATGCAATGGCTATATATATATATACACACACACAATAAATAAATATAAATATATATATCTCTCTCACATTTTCTTTATCCATTCATCTGTTGTTTACACATCTTGGCTGTTGTGAATAATGCTGCAATGAACATGGGAGGTCTCTTGAAGGCAGATAGCTCTTTTAATAGTCATTTCATTTCCTTTGGATATATACCCAGAAGTGGGATTGTTGGACCATATGGTAGTTCTATTTTTAATTTTTTGAGGAAATTTCATACTGTTTTCCGTAATGGTTGTACCAGTTTACATTCCTACCAACAGTACACAAAAAGATTCCATTTTCTCCTCACCAACATTTGTTACCTCTTGTCTTTTTGATAAGAGACATTTTTATACATGTGAGGTGATATACCATTGTGGTTTTGATTTGCATTTCCTTGATGATTAATGATGTTGAGCATCTTTTCATGTACCTGTTGGCCATTTGTATGTCTTCTTTGGAAAAATATCTATTCAGGTCCTCTGCCCATTTTTAAATTAGATGATTTGTTTTTTTGCTATTGAGTTGTATGAGTTCTTTATATATTTTAGATATTAACCCCTTATCAGATATATGATTTGCAAATATTTTCTCCCATTCTGTAGGTTGCCTTTGCATTTTTTTGATTGTATCCTTTGCTGTGCACAAACTTTTGAGTGTGATGTAGTCTCACTTGTTTATTTTTGCTTTTGTTACCTTTGCTTTTGGTGTCAGATTCAAAAAATCATTGCCAAGACCAATGTCGAGGAGCTTTTCCCCTATGTTTTCTGCTAGGAGTGTTACGATTTCAGGTCTTACATTTAAGTCTTTTATCTATTTTGAGTTGATTTTTGTGTATGGTGTAAAGATAAGGGTCCAATTTCATTCTTGTGTGTGTGGATATTTGATTTCCCTAGCACCATTTTTTGAAGAGACTATTTCTCATTGTGTATTCTTGGTGCTTTTGTCGAAAGTTAGTTGACCATATATGTGTTGGTTAAATTCTAGGTTCTTTAACCTGTTTCCTTGGTCTGTGTGTCTGTTATTGTGCCAATACTATACCGTTTTGATAGCTATAGCTTTGTAATACAGTTTGAAATCGGGAAGTGTGATGCCTCCAGCTTTGCTCTTCTTGTTCAAGATTGCTTTAGCTATTTGGAGTCTGCTGTGGTTCCATATGAATTTTAGGATTTTTTTTCTCTTTCTGTGAAAAATTCCATTAGAATTTTGATAGGTATTACATTGAATCTGTAGATTGCTTTGAGTAACATGGACATTTTAATAATGTTAATTCTTCCAATCTGTGAACAAGGGATATGTTGCCGTTTACTTGTGTCCTCTTCAATTTCTTTCATCAATGTTTTATAGCTTTCAGTGCATAGCTCTTTCCCTTCCTTGGTTAAATTTATCTCTAAGTATTTTATTCTTTTTGATGCTATTGTAAATACGATTATTTCCTTAATTTCTCTTTTGGGTGGTTCACTGTTAGTGTATAGAAACAACTGATTTTTTGTGTGTTGTTTTTGTATCCTGCAACTTTACTGAATTCATGTATTAGTTCTAACAGTTTCTTGCTGGAGTCTTTAGGGTTTTCTATATGTAAGATCGTGTCATCTGCAAACAGACAATTTTACTCTTCCTTTCTGATTTGGATGCCATTTATTTCTTTTTCTTGCCGAATTTTCTTGCTCTGGCTAGGACTTCCAGGACTATGTTGAATAGAAGTGGTGAGAGTGGACACTTTAGCTGTGGGCTTGTCATGTATAGCCTTTTTATGTTGAAGTACATTCCTTTTATACCTAATTTGTTGAGAGTTTTTATCAGGAAAGGCTGTTGAATTTTGTCAAATGCTTTTTCTGCATCTATTGAGATGATCATGTGATTTTTATCTTTCATTTTGTTAATGTGGTATATCACATTTATTGATTTGTATACATTGAACCATCCTTGTGTCCCAGGGATAAATCCCACTTGATCATGGTGTATGATCCTTTTAATATGCTGTTGAATTCAGTTTGCTAATATTTTGTTGAGGGTTTTTGTATTTATGTTCATCAGGAATATTAGCCTGTAGTTTTCTTTTCTTGTAGTGTCCTTGTTGGTTTTGGTATCAGAGTAAAGCTGGCCTTGTAAATGAGTTTGGAAGTGTTCCCTCTTCAATTTTTTGGAAGAATTTCAAGATTGGTATTAATTCTTCTTTATTTATTATTTAAAAAAATTTTTTTAAAGCCATTTCTTTTTTTTTTTTTAATAATTTTTATTTATTTTTCCCCCCAAAGCTCCAGGAGAAAGTTGTATGTCATAGTTGCACATCCTTCTAGTTGCTGTATGTGGGATGCGGCCTCAGCATGGCCGGTGAAGCGGTGCGTCAATATGCGGCCGGGATCCAAACCCAGGCCGCCAGCAGCGGAGTGCGCACACTTAACCGCTAAGCCACAGGGCCGGCCCTAATTCTTCTTTAAGTGTTTGGTAGAATTCACCAGTGAAGCCATCTGGCCCTGGATTTTTC